GCTTCACACTCCTCTGCCTCAGCTTCCTGAAAAGCTGTCCACAGGTGTGTGCTACCACACCTGGCCATTCCACTGCGTCTCGGAGGTCAGCATGGAGGAGTTTGCCTTGAAACACAGCAGTGATTTCTGCTCTGGATACTGACTTTTTGGTATTTCCTGCTGGAGCTGTGCTTGGGTGGAGCTCCCTTTAGAAGCGCCAGAGTTTTCCTGTTTGTGCAGTTGATTTTCAGAACCTTAAATAAACTCCGTTGTTATGTGTCCAGAACAATAACAACTCAGCAACTCCTTCTTAAGCACCTACTATGAGCCTGCCACTGTTCCAGCCGCTGAGGACACACAGTGACCTCAGCGGACCCTGTTCTCAAAGAGCTCTCAGTCTGGTCCAGGACACAGATTAGTAAACAGACATTGCTTCCACGTGGTAAGTGCCATGAAGGACAAAGTACAGAGTGCTGGGGACAGGAGGCGGGGCGAATCCAGCCTCGGGAGTGACAGGGCTTGGGAAAGGGGTGTGCAGTATGCCAGGAAAGATTGCTTAGAGCCCGGGCCAGCTGCACTGCATGTTAAATAGAAGAACCTGATTTTTAAGAGCCTGTTTTCAGTTATGTGCAAGTAGATGATTCTAGTTTATTTGCAAGAAAACGGTTTCCCTCGAGTCCTTTTGCAATGGCTTAAGCGCCTCCACTCCTGCTGTTTGCATTGCACGCTGAAGCAGAGGTAGCAGGGCGGGAGTACCAGCCAGTTAGGGTTAGGAGCTGGCCAGATCATTATGAGGGGAGGGAGAAAGGGAGCCAGGCAAGAACATGCTCAGAAGCCCTCAATGTCAGGTCCTTCTGGGGAACTTCATTACCTCACTGGAAGTGTCTTTGGGGCTATCAAGCTGACACAGCTCTACTCAAATTCCTCATAGGAAAAAACTGTATTTCTGTGCCATCGGATGTAAATGACTCGGGGATTATTTATTCTGTTTTTAGATTCTCCTTGTTATGGTTCCTCTTCATTAGTGCAAACGATAAAAGCCTGCTTCTTGCCCAGAGAAAATATAGGACTGGGATGAGGACCAGGACAGAGGCTGCTGTGTGCCGGCTAGCTGGAGTGGCCGGCACTTTGCTCTTGGGTCTCCTTTGGCTCCCTTGGCCAGGCAAGAGAAAGGTCCATTTATGTATTTAAAACATCACTTTATTGAGGTATAATTTATAAACAATAAAATGCACTCATTTTAAGCATACAGCTCTGTGAATTTTGACAAATGCATACACCAGAGCAGTCATCTCCAGACTCACAACTTGAACGTTCATTTACAACCCTCCGCCCCCAGATTCCTTTATTCCTTTTTCTGGTGTGGTTGTCCCTGGTCCTGGCCTCAGGCAAGTGCTGAGTCGTGTTCCGTCACCCTAGAGTGATTTTGCTCCGTCTAGAATTTCCACCATGTGGAATCATATCACGTGTATTCATTTGAGTCTCACGGTTTTGCTCAGGTCAATGTTTTTGAGATTCATCCTTGTGAAAATCACTAGTTCACTTGTTTTTATCTAAAATTCTGATATTTGAAGTAGCAAACAGTTGTTCACTTGGTAAGTGACAAGTGTAGATGGCAGAAGTCCCTCTGGCCTAAATGTTCTATCCACTCACCAGAGAAAGGGATGCCTGTGAGTTGGTGGATCACCTACGCTGAAGGAGTGGCGGGCACGTGACTCTCAGAGCTGCAGGAGTGTGGGAGGACAGGGAGAGCCTGGGCGATGGTGACGGATAGCACCGATTACGGAGAATGACAGGGCTATTTGCTCAGTTCTTTTATGAGCTCAGCAAAATGTGACAATCCCAGGGAGTATAAATATATATTGCTGTATTTATGTGTGTGTTTGTCTCAAGAGACCTGGCAGGCCGTGGTAGATGGTGGGGAGATGGGACTCGGAAGGATTTGAGTAGACAGAGATAACTGGGCTGGGTTGAGCCTGTCCCAGGCCACAGGGACACAGGCTGACACCTAAAAATGGCACCCAGAGCTCACTGATCATGTCAGGTGCTGTGCTTGGCTCCTAACAGAACCATTTTGGCAAGAGGGACCAAACAACTTTTCCACGGGAGGGGGATTGCTTCTTTTTATTAGTATGTGTTCATTGTATGTAATAGCTAAACTGCTCGGTGCGATGTAACATCAACTCCTCAGCTCTGCCTCAGATCATTGGGCCTTAGATGGTCACAGGAGGGCAGGCCCTGGACCCCCGCATGCACAGTTCATGGCAGGGGACTCTCACGGGGTGGAGCTCGGGTGGTGATGCGGGAGGTGGTAATACGGGAGATGGTGATGTGGAGATGGTGATGCGGAGACTGTGATGTGGGAGATGAGGAGAGGCATGCAGAAGAAGCCCCATCTGCTGCGCACTTCCTGGGGTGCAGCCCAGTTCCTAGGAGGTACAGGCACCCCATCTCAAGCATTGTTTCACTGAACTCGTACCCCTACCCTATCCAGCAAATAGGGTCTCTGCCTGTGTCCTGGGTTCATCTTCCCGACACTTCCCTGAGCCCTGTCCTCCAGTCTAGGGGAGGTTGTCTGCTGGTGTCCCCAGAATTGCCTTCTACCACCTTTATAGCAGTGCTAAAGTTACAGCGATCTGCATGACGATTGGACTCGTATATCCTCTTCCCGACCAGCTGGCCAGCACCAGGAGGTCAGGGGCTGTTTTATTTGTTCTTAGTTCTGTCCCACACCCTGGCAGCCTTTCTAGGGCATAGTGATTGCTCAGTAAATATTTAAGCCCCGAAGGAAATGCATGCAAGTCCTTCTTTTTCCTCACAAGTGCTCCCTAATCCCTGAGGATTCTTAGCCTTGTTGAGAAGTGGCCTCCAAATGTGACCTGTGTGACCCCAGAGAGCAACCCGAAGTCCTCGCCCACTGCTGTTCCCCTGGGTATTTAGGGAAAAGTAATATCCAAGTCTAAGCCATGGTACTGTTCCTGGGCATCAAAATTGAGTGTCAACCGTGGAGATAAATCTGGAAGCAGGAGAAAGCTGGGTAGGCCCTGAATGAATTAGGAAATCTGAATAACATTTTAATGAAGTACAATGTTGCTTAAATACACCCACATTCTGAATGAAATGCACATTCTTGGATCCCTCTCCTCCACAGAAGTACACTTAGTCCCATGTTCTCACGGCAGGCTGATAAGTATCTATTTCCTTCTCTTCTTGCCCTGGTAATTCCCCAGCTATATAAAATTTACAAATTGCTTTGGAGGCATTTTGGAGGAAGGTGCCGTGGAAATGGATGAGATTATTGAAATAAATGCTGACTGAGAGATTGCCCAAGTGGATAGTTAAAGTATATGTAGGCACACCCCGACACTCACACCCCTCTTCCGGATACTTCTGGCTCTGATCAGGGCAGATAAATTTTCCTGACGGTGGACAGTACGTCAAGAAGTGTGTTTTAATAGTCACCAGCTCTTTGCTTCTGTTCGCTGCTGTCTCAGGCAATCCTTCACCTGCTGGGACACCAGGCCCAAGGGCTTTTGGCCCACAGAGAAGTGGCGCTTAGCAGCGAGGTAAATAAACACTGGCACGCTGAGCAGGAGAGGTACGCAGAGACAAGTCAGGGTGGTTTGGGATCCATCGCTTTCTGACTAATAAGCTAATAGGAAATCATAAATTTACTGGTTTTTATCCAAACAAAAACAAAATATTTTTAGCTGGGCATGGGGGCCTATGCCTCTAATCTTATCTACTTGGGAGGCTGAAGCAGGAGGATTGCAAATTTAAGGGAGGCCTGGACAACTTAGTGAGATGCTATCTCAAAAGAAAATGAAAAGGACTGGTGATAGCTCAGTGACAGAACACTTGCCTAGCATGCAGAAAGCCCAACAACAGAAAAAAAAATTCATAGATTTGTGCAATGGTGTAAAACCTGGACAGGACTGAGGGCCAGTAAATGCTGAGTAAATAGTTTCAAAGGTGAACATACGCTTTCTTTCACAGGTCCTGATTGTTACAGTGGAGCACTGAACTTGCCCTTCTGAATTTGTCCCTCATGTTCCTCTCCATCAAGGTTTGCATGAAGGTAGTCAATGAAGTCAGGCTGTTCCACACCCCAGGGCCTTTGTGTGTGCTGCTCTTTGTGCTTGGACTGGAGAGTGTTCCGTGCATCTATGTGAAATAGGATTGTTTTTTGATCTTTGAATAACTGATGTCAGGATCATCCTTCATTTCCGTTAGGTAGATTTTCTTGACTAATTCTCGCAGTCCTAGAATGACCTGCTTTATCCTACACATAGTTTGACTGCATAGCTCTATTTAACAAAACAAGACTGGACTCTCTTGGCAAGTCCCTGCTCACACCCTGTACCCACTTTGAGGCCACAGTCAACATTTCATTGTAACCCACTTGCCCACTTTTAACCTCTCAAATCACCTTCCAAAGCATTTCAGTAATGTAGGTTTTATTGAAATGCTCTTAAAAGAGAAAGGTGGAGAGCTTACATTGCTTACATTACACACACACACACACACACACACACACACACACACACACACACACCGACCACTGAAACTCCACATCTACTCTAGGAGCCTATTCTTCCATTGCCCACTACGTGTGTCTCCTCTAAGCATCTGCTTACTCTCTTCCTCTAGCTGTGCTCCTGCAGCCTCCTTCCACGCTGGATTCCTCACCATCGACCCAACTCCATCTAGCAGGTTACCTGCTCGGCCCCTGGTCCTCCATGTCTTGCTTCCTTGAAATGTTGTATTCTTCCCATCAAAGTATCTGAGATCCAACCCTCTTAAAAGCAAGAGCATTTCAAATAACCAGGGCATTTATTCTTCTTCTACTAAAGATCAAGAGCAACTTAAAGGCAGGAATCAAGCCTCATTCACCTTTGTTTTCTCCATGCAAAATAAAATATTTGGGAAATGAAGGGATAGGTAAAAGAATGTAGCCACTGACTACAGTCCTTGAAGAACAACTCTAATCCAAGTGTTCCCCTGTTGAAAGATCTTCTAGAATCTTTGGTTCATAAGTATGATGATTGGGTATACACGCAGTGTACATGTGATATGTCTCCATCAAATCTTATTATTATGTAGACACATTACCTGTCTGAAATGAAAAAGAAAAAAAGAAAAGGACTGGCAACATAGCTCAGTGAACTAAGCATGTGCTTAGGCAAGTGTAGGGACTGGGGTTCCATCCCTGGCACCTCATGTCCTTCCCTGCCTCCAAATATGCACTGAGTCGGTCCTAGAGACCAGCATGGTGGAGCACACCTGTAATCCCAGTGCTGGGGAGGCTGAAAACAGGAGGATCACTGTGAGTTTGAGCTGCATAGTGAGACCCTATACCATATCTATACCTACCTATATCTCTATCTCTATTTCTTCTTTTTTCTATCTCTATCTCTATATGAAAGGAGAGAGAAAAAAAGGAGAAATGAAAAAATGAGGAGAAAAGGAAATTTAAAAAAAAAGAAAAAAAAACCCCAAAACAACAAACCAACTGTACTGTCGAAACTACAGTCATGGCCAGTTGCCCTTTCTCCCCGGCCCTCGCAATCTGCCCAGCTCTGGTAGCTCTTTCCTCCTGAAGCCCACGGTGCCTAGTCTTGCCTCCAGGTGTTCCTTTGTTGTCTCTCTAGGCCTGGACAAACCCACAGCATTCCAAGGATGGTTGGGAGTGGGGCACCGTCAACC